ACAGCGGGGTGTTGGGATGAAGGACGAGCTTTCGAGTGCGAGGCGATCTTCTTGAAGGCTTGCACTCCTCCCCGGGTCTCCTGCACTCCTCCCCGGGTCTCTTGCACTCCTCCCCGGGTCTCCTGCACTCTTCGGTCTCTTGCACTCTTCCCCAGGTCTGTTACACTCTCCCTCAGGTCTCTTGCACTCCTCTTTGGGTCTCTTGCACTCTTCCCCAGGTCTCATATAATCTTCCTCCAGTTTCTTACACTCTTCCCTGAGTCTCTTACACTCTTCCCCAGGTCTGTTACACTCCTCCTCAGGTCTCTTGCACTCTTCCCCGGGTCTCATATAATCTTCCTCCAGTTTCTTACACTCTTCCCTGAGTCTCTTACACTCTTCCCCAGGTCTGTTACACTCCTCCTCAGGTCTCCTACACTCTTCCCCAGGTCTCTTATACTCTTCTCTGCATCTCTTATAATCTTCCTCCAGTCTCTTGCACTCTTCCCCAGGTCTCTTACACTTTTACATTGGGAGAAAGTGACACCTTGCTTTCTCCAAATGACACCCTTGGTCCAATCTACAATATCACCCTAAGCCATCCTTGCCTGTCCCATCATTTCTGGACTGTCCCAGCTACAACATCACTTGGCCACGATCTGATGTTCCTATGACTTCCTTCCCCGGTGCCTGCCTCATGCTTTTAAGCAGGAAGCCCGGGTACATTTTTAAACCGAATGCTGTACTACTAAGGAGACAAGGTTCAAGAAAGTCATCCACCCTGGCGATCTTCAAAAAGCATCTTGATGCCCACCTTGCTGGGGTCGTCTGATCCCAGCGGTCTTCCCTGCCCAAGTGCAGGGGGCTGGACCCAATGATCTGTAAGGTGCCTTCCAGCCCCGAACATCTATGAAACTGTAGTGGCAGGGGGTCACACACAGATCCTACACCATTTCGAATGTCATATGGCCGCACTGAGGGGTAGCATGAGAGCTGTCTGTGTGCAGGTGGTGGAGTGAGTGCTCATGGTAGTGCTCTTGGTCAGGGGGATGGAAATCAGGAATATCTCCTCTGGTCCCAGCACTAGCCCCTGTGAAGCCGCTGGCTGAAGCCCGATCCAGGGGAGGAAGGTTAAGCTCCCTGCAGCGCTGGTACCAGAGATATTCTGCTGCTGGCTGCTTTCCCACCATTTCCAAAGGTGAGCACGCAGCTTTCTTGGATTTGGATTGTTCCCCCAACCCCGTCCAGATCATTATTGAAATCCCCATCGTTCCTCCCCTAGTGCCACTTTTCACTTTATAATAAGGACAACAGGTATGCTCAAGGCTCATCTTATGGGACATCCTCATCTTGGAGAATGACCAGCACTTTCAAGCCCATTTGCACAGGGTCTGATCCACCTCCAGCCTTTTCCTGAAACACTCCAGCGATGGATCGTCCACCACTTCCCTGGGCACTGCGTCCCGCTGTCCTAGCACACGTGTGACAAGTGCGGGTCCTGTTCTTGTAACCCAGCACGTTGTCACGTGGGGATGTGGCAGAGTTGCCCACGTGACCTTGTCAGCAGACACTGATGCTGCTGGAAAGGGCTAAGAAGCTTCTCTTGACTCCCTTGATCATTACTGTCCAGGTAATGGGGGTGGCAGGATCTCTCTGCCATGGAGTGCATGAAGGGCGAACCAGGTTCTTTGTGTGAATCTGATATCTTTTATTAGACCAACTTAAATAGTTGGAAGAAAAGGGTTTTTTTAACTATTTAAGTGGAGGGTGAACAGGGTTTGAAGGACGCTCGGACTCCTGGGGGGGTCTGCGGCGGCAGCAGGAAGCGAGAAGGAGCCACCACCGCTGCCGGAGCTGCTTAGAAAGGCATGGGGCAGGCCAGGGGCTCTTGTCTCTTATGGGAGGGCTCACCCCCCCGCCCCCCAGGCCCCCCTGTATTTCAAACCCTGAGGATGGAAGCTGAGCAGGTTTGTAGGTGAAGCCTTTGGTTCAGATAAGCCTAAGGAGACGCCTCTGGTGATCTTGCTGATCTTTGTCCCACCCAGGGCTTAATGATGAATTGAACTCTATCATTGTTGAAACGACCTGCACGCTGAGACTGGAGCTTCTGTGACGTGCCGTGTTGGGGTTTACATTACTTTATTGTTCCCTTAGTCATGCAACCAACTCCAGGGTGAGGGGGTAAGCATGGAGTCCTTATGGACTGTGTCTGAAGGGCAGCACGGCCAAGGCACCACACCTTCACCATTCATCCTTGATCAATGCCTGTTTCTTCCTGGGCTCTTCAGTGTTGGGGGAAGCTCAACCCTGTCACTTCAACGGCACGATGCACCCAGGATGGCAAAGCCCAGGAGCAGACGGGTTCTGCCTGAAGTCATTCCGTAGTCCCGACAGAGGATGTCACTGTGTGCTTGTTGCCACAACAGCCATGGAAGAGCAACCAAAGAAACAAGACTCATGAAAACAGGAAACGCCGGTACATAAGATGAAATCTTGCTAAATGAAGTTATGGGAGGGCGGCAGGTAGAGGTGGCTGCTTTTGTGCATTTTGTAGGCTTCAGACAAGTTCACGCGTCACTACGGGGATGCTACGAAGATGACAAGATTTAACGATCAGGCTGATTGAGTGCAGCGTGCGCCACTAGATATGTTGTTATATTTAGAACGGTTGAAAACCTTTGCAGTTCTGCATGTCAACTTGGCAGTGATGTGAGCAGGTATTCAGATTCCTGGCAATATTTGCTCCCACGTGATGGAGGGGGGAGGATTTTTAATGATCTGTTTAAAGAGCGAATGGGCTAGCCTCATTCTGCTGCTATCTGTTGGGTTGTGTTAGCTATTTGCAAATAGTCAGGCAATAGCTAGGTACTCATTAAAATGTTTACAGACTCCAAATTATTCTCTGTCTGCAAATGCGCTATTAGTTGCTCTCTGTTTGTTATACCTCACTCGTTATCTTCTGCTCAGAAAGTTTTCATCATCCAATCAGGAAGCAGGCATCATAATAGGTGACTAATTTAAGATGGTTGCAAATGATTTGCAAAAAGCAATATGGACTCAGGTCTCAGTGAGTGCTGTTATTTCCGAAGAAGTCTCTCTCCAGCATTTGATAGAGAGCAGTTACTATAGCAGAGGAGGCAGACTATCAGCCATTGTAGTCAACTATTTTTTGTTGGCAGCGACCTCTAGCTCCTTTTCCAGATGCAGGTAAATAAATATGCCAGTGTGCCTGAGATGACTATGAAGCATTTTTGCAGTGGGGGGAGAAATTCCTTCTAGATGAAGCCCTGAAGCATGAGAGGTTAATATAACTTCCAGCTTTTTGATCTGCCTGCCTGTCCCATAGAGCAGCATATTATGTCGGGTGAGATTAACTGAGCAGAAAGCTTACTCAAGGCTTCACGCATAATAGAAGTGCCACTTCAGGGCCTAAGTGTACAAGTTAAGCCTCAAGTATGTACAAGGACCAAAGTCACACTTAGTTGTACATAGAGTCCTCCTTGTTCAGGCCTTCTGCATGGTGGTGCAGTTCACCCGTTGGTATTTAAATCCTTTAAATATACTTTCCAAAATGGATTAGAAAAGACTTTGCACTCTTGAAAATTCTTGTGGGAGTGACTTCCACAGGTTCAATATACAGCTGCTTCCTTCTTCATGCACGTTTGCTACCTGGCCAGATGGACCTGAGCTGTAATTTGGATGTGAGGTCCCTGGAGCCCAGTTCTCTTTTATTCTGAGTCCTCTGTACTTTGCCAACACAATCTAAAGGGACCGTAGGATAAGCCCGAGTCTTCCTCCCTGCCCCAACCCACTTATCCCAGGTTTCAGGGAAGTTTAGTTTGGATATGAGCTTTGCAGTTGCCTTTAAAGAGAGTTAAAATGTATGTGTCTGTTTGAAGTCTTCATTACGTTAAATGGGCAGGATACACTGTGTTATTTAACACTGAGGAAGGGCGTGAATTTAAAGTGCAGTAATTGCTTCAGAATGACTCAGTGTGTGATTGTCTTATTCTGGAATAAGTGTGTCCACACAAGGCATTACTGGTGCATAGTTATTCCAATTCATTTCCTTGAGTGGTCAAACCCTTAGAAACCGAATAAGAAACAGCTTGTGAGTGCTCCTGATTTTTAGCTTTGGATAGTGTTTTGTGCCTGCTCCTTGTCTCCTTTCTGGGTCAAATCAAAATCCCAGACCTACATTTTAAGCGTGTTAGCACTGACATGCCAGTCTCAGACCTGTGGCTCATGCCCCCCTCTGTCTGCTGTTCTTCTGCCTTCCTGTCTCATTTAGTACTGGTCACCTTGAGCCTTTAGTGCTGTCGGAAACCTGTAGCCAAGCCGTCTGCACAGCAAATTGTTTTTTGCCATTGGCCTCTGCTTCCATTGTCTTTTCTAATAGCTCTTCCATCTCACAGAGACAAATTTTGAGCTTGTTGTTGCACAGATATGCTCCCTTTGGTCAGCAGCCTTTGATCCTGATCTCTGCTGTGACTTGCAGATGCAAAGACATACATACTGGATGCAGCAGGCCCTGCAGGAGGGCTCTGCTGCTTACTCAAACTTCTGTTCAAAACACAAAGTTTGGTGGTTGATTGATCCTGCTGCACTGAGGACTGGTGAGACAGGGCTGTGATTGATATGTCCTTCCCAGGGAAATTCCCTTTTACTCTTCAGGAGGATGGCACTGCTC